GTTCTGTCCTTTCCACCACTCCTTGTGTTGGCACAATCCTTCATACAGTAAACCAGATTGTGACACTAATACAGGTCAAAATGTAGTCTTTAAACATTATTATTGCATACAAGGGGAATGTTGCAGAGATGAATGATTAGCACTGATTCTTTAGCTGCAATGCCAGCTTATGCTAATTTAAAATACATCTTGGTTCTGTTTGTTCTTTTCAGAAATACCATCCAACGAGCAAGGTTACCACCACAGAGGCCTGACTTCCCTCTGGGCTCTCTAGAAGGCAAGGCACTGCTGGGATCTCCTTTCTCTAGGTAAAGTCTGTTTTTTAAAGTAATGAAAAATAGGGTGGCTTAGAGTGGGATATGCTATGCTTATTCCTTCAAATCCCCTGACCTTCGTAATACAGAATGTTCAGTAGTTATGGATGGTGCATTGCTCTCTGCTACCAAAAGGCCATCCTGACCTTAAAAACATCAGGTTTCTTTATAAGAAGCAGACAAGAAAAACAAACTTTAATGAAACAGCAACCAAGGCCTTTGTTTCATTAGTGAGAGATTTTGAGGGCAAGATAGGGCCCATCACTTCCTTACAGAATGAATGAGCTTAGGGAATAAGTAAAGTTATGAGCTGTTTTTCTGTCAGTCTTGCCACATAAACTTGGAAGTTTGAGCTGTGCAGGATGCTTTTTGGCTCGTAGATCGTGTTTGCTCCACACCAGGCTTGGGTCTGGATTTAACTAATCTACTGAGGAGTCATTACTGATTCTGGGAATGCAGAGCCAGAACTGAATATTTCTGTCTTGGCTGAATCAACTTTGCTGCTCTAAAAGGAGCTATTTTCTTGTAATTTTTATTTTCCCCCAAAGGTCTGTGCTGAGAATGTTCAACAAAGCAGCAGTTTCACTGTCTTGAGCGTTCTGCATTTGTTTGAGTTATGGCAGCACTTCTTAGCCCTGAAACTGAGGAGCTGAAACTGCTCTTGTTATAGGAGCTGAAATTGCTTCTAAGCAGATGTTTAGACTGAACTTTCCTGTGAAACTGTTCTGTAGTTAGCTTTAGAAAAGGCAAATATCAATCAGTTTCCTCTCAAAACCCATCTGAGATTGCCGATCCTGCTCCCTCTTTCTCTTGTCCCAAACCAATATGAGGCAGGATTTTGTTAATGGATTGAATTCACAGGTCTAGAGAAATTGTTTCAGCCTGGATTCATTTGGAGAATTTAGAGCAGGGCAGGAGGAGTAATGGAATCCTTTGCTGCTCTGCTGCTTTTTTGGTTTGGTTTTGAAATCATTGTGGTGTTTTGGTTTTGTTTGTTTGGGCAGTTTTTGCTCTTTGGTAGTTTTGTTTTTTTCCCTTTTAAATTCGGGTTTCCCTTCATAGTAAAGCAGCTGACTGGAAAGCTGTATGCAAGGGAATAACAAGATGACTTCATCCTCCTTCTTTTACAGACCAGAGGCACCCTTTCAGCATACATCTGTGAACAAATGTCTTGGGCAGACTGGGAACTTAATGCAAACACCTGAAGTGGAAGGAAGTACCCCTAAATGTCTGTCTCAAATGGGCAATACCACTCGATCTTACCCATCTCTTGCACATGCTTTACCACTGTGGACAAATGATGTGCACCGTGCTACTCAGAGGCCAGAGCTAAGGTCTCCTTCGTCTTTCATGCCTCAAATGAAAGCTGGAGCAGAAATGGTGAGTGTATTGCTGAAGGAAGAACTAGTGTGCTTACTGGGCTACTCTCAACATGCATGCTGCTTATTGCTGGGTTTTCCTGTGGAGCTGCTGGCGTGGCCATCTGGCCTTTGGGCTGTTCTTTTCTTGTTCTAGCTGTCATCCTAAAAGCTGACCGAGTTAACTGGCTCTGAATGCCCAAGAGCTCTTTACCACCAGTCTGAAGCAATGTTTTACTAGCTGACCAATCCACATGTATTTCATGCCTCTTTTTCTTGGTCTTGTGTCCTTCCTAGCTGGATGCTTTTCCTAGCAATTGACTTGAGAGTGCTCCTCCTTCAAGGAGTTCAGAGCAGTTATAGTTTGCCAACCAGATCACAGGGATTTAAGAGCAACTCAGTTTAGGAACAGTGGCTATAGCTGACAGTCCCAAAAGTTGAAATTCACTTCCCCTGCAAGTAGCTGCTTGCATTTCAACCTCCTGTTCCACGCCAAATGGGTGGTGTTAATCTTGATGAAACATCTCCGTGCTAGAAATCGAAATGCCTACTTCTTAAGCTCTTCTTCTGTGGTATTTTACGAGAGGGACTCGGTGACTACAGGGGGTGTTTGAGTGGGAGTAGGGTTGAGTAGGTCAGGTGCATTCTACTTGTAGGGCTTACTCAAGAGAACCCTTTGAGGGGAAAAAACATGGTATCATTTTGACCTTGTAGAGAGAAGGTCAGCCTGTGAGTGGTCACAGAGGAGCCCATTCCCAAGACTTTCAACAGGACTCTATGAAGAAGAAGTTACAGCCAAACTTGGAGCCACGTTTGCTGTCACCTGAAACCTTGGTGGGAAAACAGAGTCACCAGACTGCAGGTAGGTCCTCATATCCTAACTGTAGCAGTTGTGTGTCCTCCTCTAGTACCTGCAAGAGTGTAAGTAAGCTCCACAAAACATCAGGGAGACGAGACAGTCTTGCGTGCCTTCTTCAGGAGGTGAAGAAAACCAGTCATTCCTTTTTGGGACAGTAATTAGAGTGTTGTGGATTCTGCTGAACTGGGGCTAATACTGTTCTGGGGATTGGAGGAAGGGAACTGCTAGGGATTGGCTTTTTTTAGGAAGAATGTCCTTGAGTGCTGGGATGTTCATGTATGTGAGGCTGAATGCTTCCCTCATTTCAGGAGGGAAGAATTCTCTGAGTTTTCTCTGTACTTACAGTATGGTTGTAAAGGGGACGTAAGGTGTCTAAGCACCTCCCAGTGCAGTGTTTAGGGCATGAAATTTGTGTTCTGTGTGACTAGACTGACTTCATTCTAGAAATACAAAACACTAAATGCTTGCCAAACCAGCATTTGCAGTACTAAATAATTCACATTTATCTTTTTTGTGTATGTTTAAACTGAGTCTTTGGAGCTCGCAGTGCTGTCAGGGCTCCTTCCCTCTCCCTGTACCTGATCTTTTGGGCAAATAGGTACATGTCACAGGGTGAAAAAACTGTGGAAAGGACTGCGGGAGGGTCCCTGTTTCCTATCTACTAACCTTTCGTTGACAAGAAGAAACAGTGAAAGTCTGCTCCCCTTCCATTGCTTGTGCCTTGTATTTTCCATTCAGCTGAAAGGGAAGAAAGGGAGCACAGTTCCAGAGAAGAAATGATGTTACAGAGGAAGCTGGAAGTTGAACTCCGACACATCCAACAGCAGATGCAGTACTACTTCAGCAGGAAGCAAGAACTCAAGTATGTTGCAAAGCCCTTTTATTTATCCAGCCTTGCTTCATGTTCTTGATATTACACTTTTTGTATGTATCTACTTTTAAACTGCCCAGTCTGTTCACAGCAGAAGTGTGAATGAAACAGGAAAGTTCCAGAGGTTTTGATTTTCTAAGAGTTCACTCCAGGTAGGAGAGAGTACATGTGCCACTTCTTTTGTAGTCAGCAAGTGGCTTAATTATACCTTTGGCAGCTGTTAGTGAAAGCATGACAGAGGTACAGGGTGTAATCTGAAGGTGGTACAAATGAACTTGGCAGAGTGAATTTGAGCTTTTAGCTCTTTTATCATGAGGACTTAGCTTTTCCAAGTGTATGGTTGGTGTTTGACAACTTCTCTACTAGAACACATTTACAAAAATGCTTATAAGAAAATGGGGCTGTTGGGAAAGGGAAAGGTCAGGAACAAGCAGCAGGAAATGTAAACAATTTTCAGATGGGTTTCTCTGCATTCCAGCATCTCTTTTTTAAGACTTTTACCATTCACTGGTTCGAGACAAGAAATTGGGTCTTATTGCAAGTATCAATCACAAGTGTAAGTTGGTTTAGACTGCTGAGCTTCTAACTGGCATAAGAATCCTTTAATCCATTTTATCAGGTCCTGTGAGCAGCAGGCAGATATTCTACAGCAGTGGCTAGAAACCAGCACACAACCAGAGGACCAAGGTGGTGTACAAGATATTCAGGAAGAATTGAATCAGGTCTGTAAACAGCAAATTCAACTTACTTAAGTGATAATCACTATGCTATGCACTTAGCCCAAAGGCTGATGGCAGTTGTGAGCAATTTTGTAGTAACCTGTTGTCATGCCAAGAGAATTAAGACTTGTAATGAGAAATGGACTGAAAAGCACAACAGGCTGCTGTGTAGATGCATCTTATTTGTTCAGAAATGTAACTCCAGCTCCAATAGCCCTTCCTAAGGCTGTTTCCAAGCTCCATAGCAGGCCTTAATAGATTCAGTGTTTTTTCCCTGAGATTTCTCAGGACAGTGTAACTACACTACAGTGACTGTATCTGCATTGCTGCCAGTGCCCAGGTTTTAATACAGCCATATGGGTACTTAACTGTTAGCTCTTAAGCTAGACAGTACTTGGCTGTTCCTGAGTGACACTATCCTTAAGAACACTTAATGGTTCTTAAGAGGGCAGCTGGAGTTTACTCACTCTTCCTCTGTCAGGCTAAATGCTGTCTTGCTGTATCAACAGCTTATGCGGTTCTCTTCACTTTCAGTTGCAGGTGAGGATCAACGCTCTCACCAAAGCACAACAGAAAGAGAGGTATCATGTGCAGAGCCTGGTTGCCCGCCTGCATGAAATCCAGACTGCTCTCAACACATAATGCATCTGAACCAATATTCCAACTCATGGGTAGGATTCTTTGCTCTTTTCATAGCAGGGGAGGATGGGAATGTGTACATTCTCTTAAGACTATGTATGGCAATTTTATTTGATAAATTAAATCTTTTTGCTTGCTTTGGTTTGTTCCTACAAGTGGTTAAAAACCACACAGGAGCTGTATATACCTCATGCTGCACTCACAATACCTGGTTTAGGTTACCCTGACATTTCACAAAGATAAGCAACACTGATAAGACTCTTTATTTCAAAATCTTTGCAATTAAATGAGTTCATGTCAGTAAGTCATACACTTTGACATACAAAAATAGCATGCTACTGATACAGTTGAATTAAATGGATTCTCCATGCAGGAGAAATTCACAGCATTATCAGTACCCTCTAGGAACTTTGCTTTTTCACTTCCAGGGTGCATTGCTGACCACTGCATAACAAATGTTGTTTGTTAATCAGCTAGCTCTGCACAGTATTAAGATTATCACAAAACCAGCCACTTGCATGCTGAATCCTCTCCTCCTGAGGTTTCTAATAAAGCACACACCAGGTAACCTGTGCTCCATTACCAGGCTAACAGTAACCTTCACGTACTGTGGATGGTGATGCTGAGCATGGAGAAATTAAAGCTCAAAGTTGCTTTGGCTGTGTCCGGGTGGCATAGGCCCCAGTGGAAAAGGGGGAAAAGATTCAGTGGTCTTTCCTGTCATCCACTGGAACAAATTTGCCTTCTACTGTTAACATGCCATTTAGTTAAAAGGCTAGTAGTCATAGCTTCAGCCTCTGGGTTGATGTTGGCCTTAGTCTTTTCTAAATAGCAACGGTTTAAAAAGTGCACGTTTCTATAACCTGTATATAACATACTGCTGCAGGAGTAAACTTGCTAATGCCAAGAAATTTAACAAGATAGGTGGCTGAGAGCCACTTCAAGCTTTCAAACTCCTCCTCATGTAAAGTGAGGAAACATTGACTCCTGGAGCCAAATGAATTTTCTCCTGCTTGTCACCCAACGAGCCACCATAACTGAAGTCATGGATGGGCTTCATCACTTGGAGGCAGTTTATCATCCCATCTTCCCTGATGACAAGCTAAGCATACAGGACTTGGCAAACTGGACATTTGTACAACAAAATTATATTCTATTTTCTGCAGTGCATACAAAGAAGATAAGTTTTCCCTTAGAAAATCAGAGCTAGTTAAAGCCTACAATCTCCTTAAAGTAGCAGAAAATTAGCTCAAGCGAGAAAGTAATATGAGAAATCTTTGAGAAAGCAGAAAGGCATGTCCACTCCAACAGGCTCTGGACAGCAAAGTCAGTTTTAAATGTCTGAGTGCCTGGGCCTGAAACAAGTTTATTCTCTAAAAACAATTAATACATTTAAAACTCAATGCCTCTTCTTCACTTTGGCACCAGTTTCTGTCAGTGCCGCATTTGATAGCTCCAAAGTGTTAAGATTTCAAACTCTTCTTGACATGGTGTTACAAGAAAGCTCTGAAGTTCTGCTGTAGGATGAAGCTTCAGCACAGAGCTTTGTCCCCAGCACATTCCTAGCATGAGGACAAAAGTCAGAGTCATCTTTTGAGCAAGATGAAATCGTTGCCAGTCCATTACAGGATGGCCAGGTTCGCACCTGGGAGGCAACCTGGGATTGCTTCAAAGATTCATAATACCTTTATACACAGTCAGTGCATAGATGTACTTCACTCGGTGCAATAAGAATTGGTCCTGAAGTATCTGAAACTGTTCACTAAATAGAGAAAGTAGTTCTTCAAGCATTTAGTGACAAAGCAACAATGAAGATACATTGCAGGGAATAAAAACATTTTGGCTGCTACCTTATTGCATCACACAAGGAAAAATATTCCCTGTCTTCTAACACCTTAATCGGTACTGCCTCTCATACAAACAAAATCTTTAAGGCCTGGATCAGAAAAATAGAACCATAGATTAGGAAGAGGACAAAGCTTTGTCCACTCTTGCTTCTCTAAAAGAAAATCCCAAGATGACCAGTTTCATCACATGGAATGTAGACACAGTGTTTTCAGATTTAAAATACAGTGGAAAGTCCATTTTTAAAGGGACAATGCCAGGTAAAAGAATTGTCTAACAGTAGAAAACCTGGATGAGTGTGATTTATTGTACTGATGCTGTCTACATTTTGCATATCTGAACTGTGAATCCATACTCGCCCCCTGAACTATTTGGCTCTCTACATTCACAGCTGCCTTTATTCAAAAGCTTCATCAGAGTATGTCAGAATAAAATAAATATGAGAACACATTCTTTATTCAAAGTCTGAAAACCAGACACTGCAGGTGCAAGGTCTGACTCAGCCTGTCACTGTCCCTTTAAATATAGCTAATCTCTACCCTTCCCCATTGCACCTGCATAGCCTTGGAGGGCTTAAAAGGGTTTAAGAATAAAATTACCCTGTGGCACATTGAGGGGAGAACATGAAAGACTACAGGCACAGGGTGGGTCCTCCATGAAACCTCCATGGCCAACATCTTTAAAGGCAGCTGTACCTGATACACCTCTGGTCATTCAATTCTCTTTCTGCATTCAGCAGCATGTCAGTGTACATCAAATACTCTCATTAACATAGCAATGACATTCTTCAGTTTTCCTCACCCAGGTCCTGCTGAGTGATACATACTTGCTAAATGAAACACTCCGTGGTGTGATAAGAGTCCCTTTGTGTAGAAAACCACCTTGCTGAGAGTTGCTATAGAGAGCCCAGGGCTTCTCCAAAACGGATTTTCTGTCCAGCTTTGAGGTGGAATTTGAAGTCCTTGGGTGCCTCAAAGATGAGTACAATTGTAGACCCTAAGTTAAATTCCCCTAAATGTTCCCCTTTCCTCATGGGGATCCCTTCCTTGTTGTTGTTGGATATGAAGCTGAAGTCATTGTAGGAACCTTTAGAGTAAGAAGGACTGTTGGTATGCAAGTCCTGTACAGAGAAAGAAGAAAAAGTTACTTGAGTATTTCAGTACTCTGTATTCCTTAGCACAGCTGTAGGCTGTGAAGATCGAGGCATTTAATTCAGGAACTTTCTTACAATTCAAAAGTGCAGTAGGAATATTTAAGAACCAGATGTTTATAGTGGAGATGACTCTCTTTAAATCAGTCCAAGAACAGCACTACTGTGAAATAGCTTCGTTTCAGAGTAACAAGATCTAAATGTTTCTTGCAATTTTTATTTTACTAATACCAACCTCAACCATCATGAAAAGCAGAAAGCTGCCTACCACAATCTTGCTTACCTGGTCAAAGTAGATGCGAATAGAGCCCACATTAGTTGCTCCTACAGCTGTTAAAGAGAAGAAGCCATGTTTCCAGTCACCTGTAAGGACAACCCGTTCATTGTGGCAGAACAGCTCCTTGATCCAGCGAGCAACTCCAGGATTCACAGACATCAGAGAGCCTGCAATAGTGAGACAATATTCAAGTTGTCTGGTTTGTAGCAGTACTGCAATGCTATCCAAATGGTATTTTCAATATAACAGTAGCTGATCCAGTCAACAATTCTGTCACTTAATTCAGAAAGAGAGGCAAATGGTAGGCACAGGGACTGAAAAACAAAGCGATACTAAAAACAAAGGGGTCATAGGAAAATGTAGTCCAGAAAGATGCGGTCTTGAGCAAGGCTCATATTACTTTGCATTTTATCTAGCTGAATCACAAGGGAAACCGAAGACCCCTTCATTTGTAAGGCTTGAATGCAATCTGGAACACCATCTACAGTTCTCTCTGTAAAAGAGCACAGGGTTTATATTTTCAAGCCTGTAAATGGTTCGTTTCAGGCTGGCTAGTACAGAAGAACCAACAAATTTTAAATTCATGCATATTTCTTTAAGTAATTTAGTCAGGTATAGTCACTGTACATGTTTCTAGCTATAAACTGCATCTGTTTTACTGCACTGAATCCCATAGTAGCATTTCACCCATACTCCTTCAATGCAATCAAGGTCTAACTTAAATCTGAGACTTATTTCTCCAGCATCATGGCAGGTCATTGACCCTCTTCTCATGGTGTTTAAAACCAAATCCAAGTACTTAGGTTTTCACTAGATACCAAGTTTTGTTATCTGCTGAACTAGAGTATGATGACCCGCAAAGAGGAGGACAAAACCATCTGATCCCAGCTCTAGTAACATAACCGTTTAGTAGCACGTTCTTTGCCAACCACAGGAAGTGATCATATTTTGGGCTACTCTCTGGTCTGCCCTGCAGAACTATCTGTATTTCAGGTACAAATTGAACAAACTGTGATTAGGAACAAGTCAGGTCAGCATGCATCAACACTAATTTCAAAGAACTAAACCTGCTTGAATACAGTATTACCATTTTCACTGTTTAGATGCGATTTGATCAGACAAACTATACTACTATAAAACTCAGTACCATTTGTGACACATAACTTTCTGACCATTGTCTAGCATGTGACTGTACAACTGCTCCACTGGTGTGTCTCCTTCAGCAGTGCCCTGTACCAGGTTTTCCCTCCACAGCTGCTCTGCGCTCATCTTCTAGGAGCGAAGACCTACCTGGGAAATGGCGCCGGTGTGACACTCTCCAGTCGGTGGGGGAGTGGAAGCAGTGATAATCCCCTGGTGCAAGGTAGATTACACAGTGGTAGAGCTCATTCCCCTCCTTTGTGACTAGTTGTTGCTGAAAAGAGTTACCAGGTGGGGCTGCAAAGAATGGAAAGAAAGGGTTAAAGATACTCTTCACAGTTACCTATCACAGATAGCCAGTCTAGCTTAGAATCAGTGCTAACAGCAGAGGACTGAATGCAGCCTACTTGTATTGTTGAGACTAAAAAAGATACACTTTTTCCACGAATCCAATATTTCAAAGTGTTTTTTAACCTTTACGACAACATTAGATCCTATATTAGGATCTAATTAGATCCTGTGAACCAGACAAGACACTCTAAAGCCACCGATGAGACAGAGAAACACTAAAACAGTGACATGTTTATCCCCAAATAAAACAAAAATCAGACCTGTTTTTGTTGCAGACAGTGTGAGAATGAGAGAGAAAAAGAGAGTAATCTCTTTTCTCATGATCTCAGAACACTGAAAGGGCAGAGCAGAATAAATGCAGAACTGATGCAGAACTCACCCTGGCTAAAATGCAGTTCCTCTGTAGAGATGCGAGGTCCCAAGAAGGATTCCAGGGAATAAGTAACCCCTTTTACTTGCTCCACTTCACAGTTTTTTACTTGTCCAAAATTAAGAATCTTTCCATCAGAGGGACTGATCTACAGCAAAGAGGAGGAAAAGGAAACACATCAGGAATTCATTTATTCCTCAGAAAGCAGACACGTTCCTTTGGGGCTGAGGGGAAGCTGGTGGTGTAAAGCTTTCATTTCCTTTTACTCACCACACTGTGCACACAGCAGACAGGCCGCGCTTGCGGTTTCAGCTTCCTGCGGAAGAACTCGCTGAGGTTTCTGTAGTGATGCAGATCTTCAACAGCTGCCTCCTTCATGTTCACCCCAAATGTCCAGATGTACAGGCTGTAAACAGGCTTCCGGAGCCATGTCGGCAGCTCCACCTGGTTCAGGCGACCCCAGGCTCGCGAGAGCAGGCGAGTCGGAACCGATTTGTACAGAGCAACCTAAAGGAAGAATCCCACCGTGTCATTTGGTTCTGCCCACTGACGGCTTTCTCTTACTTCCCCCCAGGAAACAGAAAGGCTCAGACTGTTTTTACCAGCCCCTCCCTTGCATTCAGCAGGTTGCACCACACACAGCCTGTAAGTCAGCAGGAAATTAGCACTGCTCTTCATCTGCACTCCCTCCGTTCTGATGAGGGACAGAATCAAACTTACTACAACCTTATACTGAAGCCAGGATTCTCCACCCCCTTGCAGGCTGAAGCTCCCCATACAAGTTACTGGAAACGGCCCAATGCGAGGCTTACATTAAAGCAGACAGATTTCACATGTGCTAGTAGAACACTCTTCAGAAGAGTAATTTCCACATCCCAGTATTGTACTGCTCTAATGACACTAGTATAGTCAAAGAAACACACCCATGTGGATACAGCTACACCGGTATAAACTTATGCCTTTACTCCTTCTCTTGTAACAATGGGAGCTGCTAATTGCAAGACTATAAAGTGACTTTATTCCTCCAGAAATACCCTTTGGACTTACACGAAAGCATGTTTCAGTGGCAACTGAATGAAACTGCGTGGATAAGAGGTATATATATGCTGCTGATGTAACTGGACTGATGACAGTGGCTTCCTGTTGGTAATTCTAGCAGATAACTCCTCTGGGGTTTGTGGTTATCAGCCAAGCTCACATGACCATGATGTGATACGGGGCTTGTGGACCAAGGGAACTGAACCCTCCCAAAGCGCTTCTGCAATAGGAGTAGTGATCTGCTGAACCCAGTACAATTTCTTTTTAACAGAACAGCTCAGCTACATGACTGGAAGTTGTGTGTGGGGGGTTTCTTAGTGAGAGGCATAATTCATTTTCAATATTAATTGTATCCTTCATAATTAAGTCTTGCAGAATACAGCCATAAACAAACAGAAGCACACGCTGGCCGAGAGCCTGTCCATCAAATACAGCAAAGTAAGATTCCACTCACAAATCACCATCCTGCGTCACATACAGTGATATTGCACAAGGAAAACACCAGCCCAATCTTTCTTCAGATAAACCTTATAAATGAACAGTACTTAGGTTGTGTAAGCTGAAGTACTGAAGAAAAAGATGTTTTGCCATTTTATGTGACACGTGTTATACAGTGTTAATTTCTAAAGTCACTTGCGCTCAGTTTAGTACAAATACTGAGAATATGCAGCTACAACTGTAAAATCACACAAACTGTTAGAAGTTGTTATTCCCTAGGAGCCCCTTCTCTCCAGAAGAGCCTGGTTTTCAAGCTGACGGCATCAAACAGAACAGGTGTTCAGTGAAATCATCTTAAGAATGGCAGTTTTGTGGCAGCTTTCAATCAAAGTATTTGTGTAGTTGTTACATTCTGGAATTACATGAATAACCACGTGCAAGGCATCCTGCAGCCTGCTCTCAACAGGGTCAGAGCAGAGATACGCATATCAGCTGGCCAGGTGGGATTAAAAATGCTCCAAGAACTTGAGGAACAAACTTTGAGCACAAATGACAGAAAGCAAGAGACCATTTCAGTGTGGCCAGCAATGGGAACTGGTGGAGGTTTGGTCTGTCTGACCTTGGCCCCAGTACTTTGAGGTGACTGAATGAGTTCCGAAGTTGTTGATTTTCCTGGGTAGAACACTGACTGTTAAATCCCTTGTCTGTGAAGCAATTGGACAGTGCAACTACGAAGAGTAAAAGCTGAAGGGAGGCATGCATTGCATCTGTCTGCTTCCATATTGTGATCACCAGCCTGTCCTTGGTTAAGGATCTCCGCCCCACTGCTGCCAGCTCCCTCCAGGATAAAACAGCCAAGGTACACGAAGCGCAAGAGACCTGCTCACACTTACCCTGCTCACAGGCCTCCATCCCACTCTGGTCAAGGGCTTAAGAGCACCGAAAGGCAGAAGGTAATAGAGAATAGTCAGAGGCCAAGAACGGAGTTTCAGAGCAGGCCTAGACATACAGCTTAGCTGGCCCAACCTTCGCCTCAGGGCCAGCTGGGGGAATTGCAACCTGCAAGATTACATACACAACATGAGGGTCAGCCATCGCAGCTTCAGAACCACCAGCTTCTGACAGCTGGGGATGATTTATTCCTGCTTATCTTAAACATTGGTTCTGCAAGTCTTTACTCCTCTATTTGGATCAGTTCTTCCCCTTCCCAAACCAGAAAACCAGTTTATCTTGAAAAATCCACAAAAACCCAACAAACACAACCAAAACCCAGACACATTCTCTATCCAAAAAAAATGGTCACACTTTGTGAATGACACCCTCAAAATTTAAATGCAAGATCACTTGCAGGTGATGCTTGAAAAGGAAGTCACAGCTAGTTCATCCAACTAACAACATGACATGGAAACTGGGACTTTAATAAGAACTCTTACTGAGGGACAATCTTATGGCAAGAACAGATACTCTGGATGAGAAATCCTTGAGACCTAAAAGAGGTCCCTTAGAGGGTTCACATGTTGAAGACATCTTGTCTAGACCGTGCCTCAAGTTGTATTTTGTATCACAAAAGATGCTGGAGTTAAATTTACACAGACCTGTTGGTCATTCTCTAACTCTGGGAAACAAGCACGCACTTAGAGACAACAGGAGTGGCACTCCTGAGTTAATACAATTTACAAGTAACTGATTCCAAAAGCTATCCTTCCAGGTCTTAAAACCTTCACTGGGTACCTCAATTCTGAACAGAGAATGTATGCACAAAGCCAATACTTCTAGTGCTGCAGGAGTCTAGTCTCCATAGGCCAGTAACCAGCTCCTTTGCCTCATAACCAGCTGCGTCTGTGGCTTTTTGTCACGTGCTTGTCCTGACTGAGAGGAAACTCATTTTGCAGACATGCTCCTGGGGAGAAACTGAACTTGTAACTCTCAGAGGGAAAAGCTGCTCACCTTCCTAGGCTCTGTGAGCCCCAGTTCAGATCCCTGCAAGAGCTCTGGGTAAGGGACCCTTCAGGTCCCCATTTATTCTTTGGCTTTTTACTCATGAAGAAGCCATTGGCACTTACAAGGTCACATGATCAAACTGAAGTCTGCCTATCTGTGGGCAAAATACTCACATCTTCTGGGCACTGACTTCGATGCTGGCTAACAGACTGTCCTCCCCATGCTGCTGAATGAAGGCAGCATGCCTGCAGCCAGGACACAGCTATGTGCACATCTGAGCTGGAAGCAGTATGCTCTGGCTGCTCTGAGCAGCTCTCTCTCTCACTGGATTATATGATACAAAGGATGAAGTACAAAGTACTGTGTATGTCTTTCCAGGATGGAAAGCTGGGAAATCAAAAGCAAACTTTCTTGCCAACGTTTTCTTTTCAAAACTTGCATCAGAATTAAAATTTCATGCAGACAGATACAACTGTCACCCCTTTGGGATGCAAACTGCTTTTGGCTCAGACTTCTGCAGTGACCACAGCTTTTTTCCTTCCAAGAATTAATTAATCAAAAACAAAGAGTGATCTGTGCATCACAATGCAAGGGGGAAGAAAAAACCCTGAGGAGATGAAGTGCTGCCTCAGCAGAGGTAAAGCTGCTTTCCTCTCAGCAGGAGGTGGGACTGACTACATGGGAATAGGAAGGGACACTTCACCTTCCTCCCATCCTTGCCACCTACCAGCCTATGATGTGCTGGAGGGCTGGCAGGCTGGGTTGGATCGCCAGGGCTGGGTTGCCAGTGGAGGTCCGGCTCCCCCTCCCGCTGCTCTCCCCCTCTTCACTGCAGTCGCTCATGGACCAATCCCTGCAGAGCTGCATCCTGGCAGCTCGCTCAAGCCCTCGGGCTTCTCACTGCCTTGGCCTGGTTTCAGAGCAGTCCCTCACTGTTTTTTCCATTCTCCTAGTGATGGAGAGTAGAAAGGAATGGAATGAAAGCCTCCTCATTCCCCGTCACATAACAGCACGCCCTTCTCTGCCAATTCAATGCATAAGGAGCTTTATAGTAATTAGGCCAAACAAAAGCGTTGCAGATGGCTGTCGCTCCTTCTGCCCAGAAACCCTCCCATCCTCCCTCCCTCCTTTCTCCCCTCAGTCACCATTCCTGCAAAGCAGAAAATACCGCACAGTACCTGAAGCGAGTTCTCCTATTTGGTGTACCCCCGGCAGAGCCAGCCAGGCCTGGACTCTCCAGCTGTGGGTGCTGGTCCCCGGCACAGCTGCTGCTGCCGCCGTTCCCTGAACGCAGCCTCCGGACATGAATTTTAACTTTGTGGAGGTTGTAGCAAGAGGGTGGAGGGTTAGATAAAGCTTTATAGCATCTCACCATTTCCCTGTGTGCAGATCTGGTCCCTGCAGGGTGTTTGACTGACACATCGTCAGGGTGATGGTTGGTTGCAAGGCTCAGTCTTTTTTCCTCTACCTCTCTTCCCTTTGCTTGCTCCGGCACAGGAGAGAGGCCACGGCGTCACAGTTCCCAATTCCCCCGCTGGTTTGTCTCTTGATTCCCCCTCTGTTTCCCACTTGAATCTCTGCTACGAGGGTTGCAGCTATTGCAAACAAACAGGCATTGTGTCATATTTCAACATCCCACTACAAAGCTGACTCTGCACAAGACAAAAACGAGCTGTCCGTATAAGCAGTCCTTGCTCCTTGCTAGTCGGGGTTGCCATTGAAACTCCAGTCTCCAAAGCCCACCCTGCAGTCCCAGGCTGCCAGGCAGAGATGCACCACAGGCAGAGGAGCAGCCAGATGGCCCTGCACTGCTAACCCAGCGCCAGCCTGAATCCGAGGCTCAGAGGAGGAGTGGCATAGAGAAGAGGAGGAGAGAATTCCCAGCTTCAATTCTGCAGTGCAGCAGCTACCACTAAAAGAGTTCTGGACTGCTGGGCCCCAAAAATCCTTTCCTGCTCTTAATATCCAGCTTGGAAAGAAGAAAACAGAAAGGAAAGGAACATTTCTGTTGCATAGCCCTTGCTAGACACCAACATCCATCTCCTGAAGTCTCTTTCCATCTTAAAAGACTTGCATAAGGAGCCCATAAAGGACATTCTCTACAAATACCCAGATACATAACAATGAAACAAGCCAGATTTAGGGCCAGCTTAAGAATCTGGTATGAAAGAAGTGTTAAAGTGCCTATTATGTGGCAATCAGTATTGTCACATTTTTACATCCAGTAGAACTAAAATACAAAACCCGAGTACAGGAAGTTTTGGGTTGGTTTGTTTTTAAAAACAGACAAAAGGCTGCAGTATTTCTATCTGAGTATTCTGAGTATACAGAGGGAAATTTCCCCCTTTGACCCTGCAGACCACATCTCAAACATGGATTTTCTGCACCTTTCTGTGACTGGATTTGGATTGTTAAGGGAGCCTGAAAGCAGAGCCCTGGTTCAGAAACTGCTGGCCAGCTAGCTACATCCTGCCTCAAGACTAGACCAAACACCCAGACCAGCTCAGGGGCTGGCTCTCCAGTGGCTGTTTCACTTCTGTTATCTTTGAAGGCTGGCTTAAAAAAAAAAAAAGAATTAGGATTTCCTTGTTTGCAAAGCTCTCTAAACACCATGGAATCTATATGCCCAGTAGAGTGGGTCCAAAAGAGCACTGGTGGGCTGATGTGAGGGCAAGGGTTGTATTGTATTAGAGACAAGGCTGGAGATGTGGGAGGGCCAGCAGGAAAAGCTAGAATTAACTAGCTAATGGCACCCCACTCCAATTTCCTTGCAAGGAAAATTCCCCATTTCCTCAAAAGGGGAATATTCTAGAAAGAATTTCATATTTTGCCTGACCTTCAATGCTAAATATTACAGATATTCCCTAGAAACACCTCTGGAGTGTCTGTATTAGAGGGCTTTTTTTCAGCCAGAAAACTGCTATACGGTGTTCCAGACCCCAGGAGGTTCCAAGAGCTCTGTTCATGCTGTTGTTTGAGCTCAATTTTAACAATTAAAAAAATTAAAAATCCAGCCAATTGAAAGAAGGTAAATCTAAGATCAGCCCAAAGCACTCCAAACCGTCTCCTTCCTCCCCAAGCCCTGTGCCAACTTTGTTTTCCTACTTAAAAATATCATTCTGTCTTTCCCTGGCTGGCACAAGAAACTCCTACACAACAGAAACGAAGCCATCTGTATAGTGAAACGATGAAAGCAGTTACCCAAAACCCCATCCAAATTCAAAGCAAAGCAAAAAGGAGCCCGGGGGAGCTGTTGCTCTGGATTTGCCTGCAGTATTAGAAATCACCACCATTAAATATTGGATGTAAATAGAAATGAGCTAAATTGACAACATGGTTTCTAAAGGCACTTCAGACCATGGTGAAAACCAGTTTCACACTGGACACGTGTCTTCACAGAACTGTGGAAGGGGAATTCCTAAGCTTGGCACAGGCAGAGCCAGGCAGGGGCAGAGCACCCCGACCCTCAGCTGCCCTTTGTGCGGCCAGGCTGGCACACTGCTCCCCGCCCTCATCTGCTCTCAAGACCTTCACCTATGCATGACTTTGCAGAAAGATACCAGAGCAAACAGAGGTCTTATCTACATTTTCTGTACTCTTCCCTATAAGGGTTAAGGGGTGTAAACCCACAAGCTCTTTCAGTAGGAATTCGATCTTATTCCCCAAAACTTTTTCAAGAAATGATGATATTCTGTATTGAACAGACCTGATTCTATGCAAGCATGGCACAAGTTAAATAGCTCACCTGCTCTGCTAAAACAAATGGACGATGGGTTCGACACCCCAAAGCACTGGGAACTACCAACCTTCAGTTCAGAACAGAAAGTGTGGTGCAGGAGAGATCACTCTCAAGGAAGGGAGAAATATTGCTGTTAAAAGCATTTGTTCTCCACTTGTTAGAAGAAAAATGAGTTCAGGTGGGAAAGAAGACCTATGTTTTTCCTAAGTTCTGTTCTACTGACCTCATTACATTGACCAAGAGGCAAATACCAGAGTTGTGCTTAAACGCTGGCATATGTGGCAAGTTGCCATCCCTGTTGTGGCTGCCCCAGAAGCAATGCAAGGTTCCTACAGTGTAAAAAGGCCAAAATTTAAAATCCACCCCGAGTTTTACACCATGGGGTAATGAACAAGAGCTGGTGATCAACCAGCTCAGGACAGTTGTATGCCTCTAAGGGCATCTCAATGGCTGGACTTGGGATGCAGGCGGTACCACAAAGACTGTTACTAGCTCAGACAGGAATTTTTGGTGGTTTGTAGGAGTTGGACATCAAAGAACCTCCCCACCTATTTGAAATCACCCAGAATCCCTTTTAGTCAATAAAATCAGCAGTTACCAGCAGGTATCAGCCCCTAGAGAATTATTATCCAATAGAGAACTGCTGATCTGCTAGGTATGCGACACCCTTCTGCGCCGTCAGCTCAAATACAGCATCAAATCCAGTGAGCCCATTCAACTACCATTACTACCTCAAGTTTTAAAGAATAATACAGCAAGGCATTTTCCAGAAAGGCCAATATGCAACTGAACTTCAAACCTCAGTTTTAAATCATAAGCATGAATCCTTAGGCTTGGAATGCCAAGTTGGAGCACTCAGAGTCCTCTGGTCACACTTTCTGCATTTGGTAACAAACTACTGTTTAAAAAATGCACTGGACACATCCAAACTCTGTATTCGCTTTAAGTGCCAGTAAAAATAAGGTCTTGCAATGAGGGCAAAGAGGTATTCGGTCACTGTTTATTCAGAGCCCCATTCCTTTCCCAGCAGTATGCATCATTTCAGACACATAACCCCTGCTCCCACCCAACCTTCTCTGGAGCCAGCCCAGCAAGAGGAACACGGGATGCTCCACACCCAGCCCAGTCCAGAGTTCCTGAACGCTGAGAGCACGACACAAGTCCTCTGAAGCTGCCGGGGAAACCCGAGTGCACGGATAGCAGCTGCCAAGGAAGGCCACGGGATTTTTAAGGAGCACACTCACTTCCAGCTTGGCTGGCATGAGCTGGGCAAGTGCACTGCTTCAGCTGACGGATTGCTGTGGAATAATGGAACAGACCGTGCTCTGCTTCAGCAACCCTTCATTTCTAAAACGCTTTACTTTTTATATCAAGAAGCCTTCTTATATTTTTTTAATTAATTTATTATGAAAAAAAGCCACTTTTGATCATTTCCCCCTAATTATACATAGATGGTTTAGTTCCGTTCTGTAAATAGAGGAAAAAAATCCAAAAGTACTTTTTTTAAGCTAGCCATAAAAGGTCTGGTGGTTTTTACAACTTAAACCTCAATTCTGTACAAAAAGCCTGTTGTATAATGTCACAGAGCTCATCTGTGAAGCAAGGAAGAACGTTTGATTTACTTTACAAAGGCACGCGAACACCGATGACACCTAAAATGCGCTGTATTACGTTAACTTTTGTACTAAGATTTTGCACATCACGGGGTTTCGGGGTTTGTTTTTAGACACAACGAACCCCCCGCGCTGGCTCAACACGTGTGGAGCGAGCCCCGGGCCCCGCAGGGCTCTAACGGAAGCACAAGCCGCGGTGCCTCTCCGCAGCGAGGCGGGACCGGCGGAAGCTGAGCGAGCCCCGCGGGAGTCAACTCCGAGAACGCCGCCCCAGGAGACTTGACTCGGTTTGAATCAGCCCCGAGCTTACTCATGGGAGAGCCGAGACCCTGCAACGTCTCTCCAACACTTCCAGCAAGCCACACACCGGGGATTACTCGCCCCTGGTCACCGGCCCTCGCACACCGGTCCTTACCTGGTGCCGGCCGGCAGCGCTCACCGCCCCGCCGGGTCTCCTTCTCCTCCTCCTCCCCTCTTTCCGCTCTCTCCCGCTGCCGCCCTTCTAAAGCAGTTTTCGGACACGTGAACAAAGCAGCGGACGGCAAAACCCCACCGACACCCCCAGCCCGGCCCGCTCCGCCCGCACCTACCTCCCGTCCCGCACTCCCGCCGCTGCCGGTGCCGGTCCGCGCCTTAAAGGAGCAGCGCGGTACCGGGGGCCCTCCCCCGCTGCCTCCCAGCCACTGGCGCTCGGCAGCCTCTGCCTTCCCGCAGGGCCCCGGCCCCCGAGGAGGAGGAGCCAGGGCAGGAGATGCGAAAAGGAAGGGAAGCCGGAGAGGACCGGAACACAGGGACAGCATCGGCGGGGCGGGCTGGGGGAGCTCTGCCCCGGGAGGCGCCAGCACTGCCAGGACACCCCGGGAACCAGACGTCCCTTCATCGCTGGGCTTCCTAAGGAGCCGCGGGGAAAGTGGCGGTGCCGGGGAGCAAGGCGCTGTGCGGGGCTGTACCCGTGCCCCCCGCAGCCTGCCGGGGCCCCGCGCTTGCCAGGGCAGGGAACGGGTGCGTTAACGCGGTCCGACACACAGAGCTACAGCCAAAGCAAGGAGTGCGCTGCAGTCTCACAAAGTGCTCCTGAAATCACTCTGTAACCCAGCAAGGTGCTCAGGAAGGTGGATGACATAGAAACCATTTACAGGGTCAAAAAGCCACCTCACTTCACCAGTCAGATTGATTTTCCTCATTTTTCCAGGACACCTCAGAAAACAATTCACCCCATCACACCCTTCACACATGTTCAAGTTGTTGGAATTTCACCACTTTGAACATTTTCTGACGCCTTTGCCATGCGCTCTACAAGATGTTTTTGCCAGCAGCATGTTTGCTAAACTAAAACTCCAAACATCAGAACACGGGAGCAAGAATGAAGAACAAGAGACCAACCCAGTGGAGATGATGTTTCATTCTTCCAAAGTTGGATTAACAAAATAATCAGAGATTTTTCCTTTATTAGCTCTTCCTTAAACTCGATGCACACCTCTTGCCATAACACTGAATGTCCATCTCATCTGGGCCAAGAAAAGCACCTCCTGTGTTGTACTGCCCAGTGTCCTCGGTTACATAAATACGAGCAGTTTTTAGTATCAATAGGAAGGGCTGTGTTGTTCTTACCTCTGAGAACCAAGATCCTACACCTATACTCAAGCACTCCTCCACTGTATCAAGTTGCTTTAGAAAACTGTGGCCCATGGCAGTAAGCTGAGGTTTGCCCAGAACACAACTGTGAATTAACCCATCATCTGTATGCTCAGATGTCACCACACCTCACTTCCCTTAGAGGCTCACTTCAGACTTCCTGCTGCGTGTCACTCCAACACACACTGGTTTTTGCTTAGATGAAACAGAGCCAACTACGGAAGCAAAGGACAGCTACAAAAGTTCCTCTCTAGAGAAAAATTCTTACTCATCCGGTCACTCTGTTCATCCACAGTAATTGTTCAATCCTGTATCAACACTGCCCCAGTGCCCAAGTGAGAAGACACAAAATGCCTCTAGTTAGCATATGAACAGTGTGTTATGCATGCAGATCCCAGCAGGAAATGTTCTGTGACAGCAAGGATTTGAAACAATAAGCTTCCATCCATCTGATAAATACCTACCTGTCTCCCTCAGAGCCGGCTGCATTACCTCATCTAATTAAATGAAAGCTGATCCTCACTGGCATTCACAGTGGGAGACATCCTAAGGCCTTAATCAGCTCAAGCTATTAGCTACACAGTGTCTCTAAGAAAATTAGAGGAAGAAAAGGTCTGGGCTAAAGGAACAACAGTTCTGTCTTTTCCCTGTGGAAGACTCAAGGGACACTTACACCAGGTTGTTTTCATCCCCGTTCTTTCATGAAGTACACAGGAGTACAGTCTACAATTCGATCAAAAACTACAAACACTTCTATAACAATATGTACCTCTGCTACAGGGAGAAGTCCCATGCCTGCCTAACACGATGATGATGATTTCCTACTTCATATCTCTGTCACCTGCTCAGAAGCAGGAAAATCGGCCTGGCACACAGAGCCATCATGTGGAAGATGATGCACG